TTGTTCCATATGGTCCATTATCTCTACTTAAAGGAACGACTGAGTGAATACAATTATGTGGCGTGTTGGGTTGAGATGCACAGTGAAATGATGTCGGCGTATGCAAGCGAGAAATGGAATTTAGAAAAGATTTTTCAGCTCTCAAATGATTTATGAGCATTCCTACAAAGCAAATACTTTGCAGCACTTGACAGTAATACAACACATCTGATTATTATTCTATTTCTTATTTCGTGGGAGACTAGCATCTGACACGACTTGCTAACAGAATTACAGATTTAAATATCACAAGTCAGTATTGGTCTCACCTGCAGAAGTTAATTTTTTTAATTTCTCACTGAGTGTGTCGTACAGTTTTTGTTAAAACAAATTTCAGTTATCTCAACTGCTTAGAAGACTACAATACATCATTTTTCAAATATTTGCTTAGCACACAAATTATTTTCATATATTCCACGAAATTTTGTACTTTGATAAATTTGGCTTGTCTCATTTATGTTAGACTAAAACTCACCGCAACTATTGTCGCAAAACTGTTCAAACAATATTGCTGGCCAGTACTTTTTTCTTCACACAACAATGAAATTCAATATAATTTTATAATTTTTTGTGCGGGCATGAAACAAGTGATAATCAGCCATTCAGAATTGAAATCTGAACAATATAATTTGATTTGGCAGATTTTTTTTTTTTGATATTAGCCTACTATGAATAATAAATTGATAGATGACAACAAAATTTTTTAAAGTGTCAAATATGTTGTGAAAGGAAGCAATATTTTATCTAAAAAAGTATTTCTGAATAAACATTTGATCGAAAGTATGTCTTAACTTTTTTCCAATATTACAGATGCTGCATGCAAAGCAATGTTGCAATTTTCTTTTGGATTCGTTGATATACGCATGCATCCATTTTCATCCCATTTTGTCCCCCAGCTGAAAAATACTACTATTAATTCCAAAATGTAAAAAAATTAATTATTACAGTTCTATTTTCTAAATCATAAATGTGGAATTCTGATGTCAAATGCTGTATGCTACTCACAGTTTAGATGAATTCTCAGAATTGTTTTCCGATAAATTAACTATTACTACGTACATTAAAATACGTTTGGCTTCTCGTAATTATACATCACCATTATTGAAATAACCTTTCTTTTGAACGATTAAAAGTATAAATGGAAGGCTGGAATATAAAAAGTGGAAGAATATCATATAATCAGTTATTACTGAGTTTTTTTGAGGCAAAATGTTCAAAATTATAATTACAAATGGTGTCCGAAATTATGTTTTTCAACAGAATATATCTTTTCCAGTACCGACCGCTAGCACTGAATAGAAATATCTTTGTGGTGCACCTACTTCATGATAGATCCCTAAAATCAACTTATGTCTAATTTATTATCAGGAATGCTTTTACGATTAGTAATCACCACTAATTAATTATTATCTTAAAAACTTAAAATTTCTCAAACTTTCTTTGGTTGTTCACTAATAATTATCTTCTATATTTTCGATGTCACTGGACATTTTATTTGGTTTTTCTTGATAATTTAAATTATGTTTTTATCTCCTTTATAATTTGAAAACTTTGGGAATTAGCAATAATTATCAGACGGACAGATTCTTCTAATAAAGCTGCTTTTAACGACTGAACATCAGTAATGCTGCAATATGTTTGAAGTTTTTATATCTACTAGCAGCATTAATACCACACGTTTATGTTTTTGCCTTATAAGAATATTGCTTCGCTAGTACTAAGCCATTTTTAACGACTTATTTAAAAGCCTATAAAAAACTTAAATACATTCAGAACAAAATTCAGCAAGAAGACATAGTGTAAAATTGTTGATTTGCAAGTTCGAACTGATTGCTTGAAAAATAATTTTTTGCAGCTCTTTTTTTAGTAAATTTTAATACATTAGCTTAAAGGATTCTAAATCAAGTAATATTACTGAAGACAGTTAGTATCATAAAACCATCATATCCCTCTTATATTCCTCAAAAATTCAATTAAAATAGAAGCAGAAAATGAATGTATTAAATTTCATTGAATACTTTTTCATGATGGAAGTAAGCAATTGATTTAAGTATATATTGATAATATATTGGAAAGTTAGAGTTATGAAAATTGTATGCTAAACACGCGTCAAGATTTTTCAATTGCTTACATTTTAATGAAGCATGGTCAGTTAGTTCTTGCATCGAAAGTGATATAAGTCCTTTACGTTGTACCTTAACTGATGCTTCTACCATACTTGATACTGCGCCAGAAAAACCAGAAAAGTAATAGACCTAGAAATTTAAATAAATGTTTTTCAGAATTTAATTAATATCAAAATAATTTAAGACAAATGACTAGAATAAATATTGCAATACTTATAAAGAACTAAATTACTACATGAAATTTGTATCTAAAACTTCTCCTTACCCTTAGGAATGTCATCATTCTCCAAAAATATTTGGAAAAAATATTTCTGATATCCCATATAAAGTGATTTGCTTCACTCATCGCTTAAATTTCCCTTAGCGCTAATTACTACAAAAGCCATTCCAACATTTCAAGTGTCTTTTCTATGCTCAAATTAATAAACAAATTAAAAACAAAGTTTAGTAATAATTAATTAATTAATTAATTAATCAATTGAGATTAAATAGTAAAAAAAAGAATATAAAATTTTTACAAGATAATTTAGTTCTTTAACATCTGCTAATACTCAACAGAAACCTAGTTGACAGTTGATGGCAATTTAATTCCTGTATATGGCAGTAGTGTTTTATTAGACAAAGAATTGAATTGTCATACGTTTGTCATAGAATTAATCTTACGATTTAGAGTTCATCACATAATAAAGGATATGCTTGAATATTCACGATATTTCAAAATGTTCATCACTGCTCATAACGATTTCCAGAGTTGAGAGCTGTTTGCTATATTTTCACAGCTGTTGCAGCGACAGAATCATACGTAGCGTTGAAACCAAAAAACCTTTGTCAGAACAAAATGTAATGAACTGTAATGGATTTCCAAATGCCAAGGGCGATGCCTCACCATATAACGTATTCATTTTGCTTCAAATAAATTTAAGCAATTTTTCTTTTTTTCTTTTTCAGGGATTTGTAATAGTAATCAATGAAATATAAAAAGGAATGAAATAAAAATTTCGCGAAAAACTTTTCGCAAAAGAAATTTAATCATTTCTAAAGTTACTTGAAGAATAAAAAAGTTTAAATTATCTTTGCTAATCAGGTTTCGCAATGGATTTCCACGTCGGATGGTATAGCTGGCGAGAAAGATTAACCCTACAACCATACTGATACTCGTTCGTGTTTACAAGGCACTAAACCTAGGAAATTCAACGTTTTAGGATGCGCTATGCTGCCTAAAAATGACGGATCAGCCGTAAAAAAAGCATTAGCTTTTCATGGACCCGTTACTATATCCGTGTATGCATCAAAAAATGTCACCAGTGTAAACAAGGTAAGTTTTATTAGTTCAACTGCATGCATATATCACATTTAATTATGCATATTTGAATCTTAGTATATCATACATTATTGATCTCAGTATATTATAAAACCAGAGCTTCTTCTTGGGCGTTTTTACAAACCAATGTAATGGCAAAGAATTTCCAAATCATTCAGTGCTTGCAGTGAGTTATGGCTGAGAAAACGTTATTGATTATTGGATCATCAGAAAAGGTAATTTACTGCAATTTATTTTTGATTATATTGTTAAAAAGTATATTATATGGAAATTATTTACTGATTGCTTTTCAATTTATTCAAATTTTCAGCGGTGGTACAACTTGGGACGGAAAAGGCTATGGTCGAATACGTACTGATTCACCTACGTTTGACTGATCAGAATTTCATACCTCTCTATATCCTTCATGAATATCGTGAAATAATTTTTTATTTGACTTTTGGCTCAGTTTTCTATTAAAAAGAAACTGTTACTGATCCCATTAAATACGTTAACAAACTTTATTTTACAAAATACTTTGCATTCATGTTTTTGGTTTGCAAATGCTATTGATACCAAAAATGTACTATAAATACGTTTTGTTCCAACTTTCACCCACTTATTTACATTTTAAAATAAGATGAAACTAAAATATCAAAAGTCAGGTGGAAATTTTACATGTTTAACTATGCTGAAAGCAGTGCTTTCGCGAACTGACGCGAAGTGATATGAAATTGTTGGAAAGATATTGTATTAAAAAAGATTTATAAAAAAATTTCATAAAAGTAATTAGTTAATTTTACTTTGAAGAAACTATCTTTGGACTACAACTTTTGCTCGGTTAGGGATTAAAATTTTATGTTCAAACGCTAAAGAAAAATTATTCTGGTTTCTGATTCCAAGATTCAAGAAACAAAAGTTTGATCTTAAGAAGATCATAGAAAGTTCTTAAGTTAGGAGATAACTGCATATGAAAGTCTTCAATTAAAAGATAATGATGAAAGTTAAAGAGTTTATTTCTTTTCGTAAAATGTGAAAAGAAACAAACAAAATTAAGATATATGCCAAAAAATTGCATTTAAAATTATATCTGTAGGACTTTTCGGACTTTTAAAAATTTCCTTCTTTGAATGAATTTGTGAATAGCAAAAACTTTTGTTATTATGCTACTAACAGTCCAATTTTAATCTTAATTTAAAGGCTAAGTTATTAATTTGAAAGCTAAAACCTTTTACCTTTCTCATCCATACTTATGTGTTTTTTTCTCGCATAAGAATCTAGAATAGACATGGTTGTCTACAAAATCGGTTTCAGTAGTATTACATGGTGAGAATTGTTTTAAAATATAAAGGATACTATAAATTATTATGTTTAGATATTTTCATCCCATTAAAATAGTACTCATATCGTAAAATGATAGTGATATATAATTCTGTTTATTTCTTAGAATCTTACAACATAGAAAGAATGTTCCTATAAAAGCAAAGTTATTCTTTAGAATGAAAATTATTCACTAGAAAATCTATTTTTCGTCTTCAAATCAATGCAAGAACATTTTCTGCGCAATTGCAATTTTCTTCTGGATTTGTAGTAATGCGCATATATCCATTTTCTCCCCAGTCCTTTCCCCAACTGAAAAATCGAAATAATCATGCTAATATGAGTTTAGAGAATATTAATAATTGAATTTTTTAGAATTGAACTTTTAAAACATTTTAAATGTTTGGACAGTTGATCAGTCTACAATGCAATTTAATAACAATAATAAGTGCAGCGAAGCTCCAAAGATACATATTTAGGATGAAAATTAATGAAAAGTAGATCAATTAACAGCAAAAATGAACAGTAATAGTTCAAATTAATTAGTAATACAGTAAAATGATGAAGAGTTTAAATAAATTAGCAACAAATAAAATAGATTAAAATCAAATTTTTTTTGCAAACTTGACTTAACTGATAAAAAGGAAATCACTACTGTTTCCATTCCAAATGACTAAGTAAAAAACCAAATTATGCATAATTTATTTATTACATGGTTTGAATCGCATGTCAAATATTTGCTCAATGATTATTTTACATACTAGTTCTATCAATATTTTTTCGCAAGCTTTACCTATTTTTCAATATAATATACTCTTCTCCATAACCAACGACTAAAACTGTGTGGGAAACTGCAGATTTTGGACTTTTTTCGCGATAAATTCCTAAAAATAGCTTCATTTTTATATTTATTTATTGATTTATTTATATTTATATTTATTTGTTTATACTAATTTAATCATTTATTTATAATTAGTTATACTTTCTGGGCTGCTAATACGTTTCAACGGCTGAATTTTCTACGAAGTTGTATTCAATCTGTTAAATTTAGTTATATTTATTTGCATTTATATATTTAGATCTATATATTATTTATTTACTTGTTTGTTTAATTTATTATTTATTTATATGATCAAATCTGTTTAGTTTCCTTTTTTTCACATTATTATTGTATTTAATCACCAACTATATTATTTTAACCTCCTTTATAGTTTCTGAAAGTTGGTGAATTAGCATAAATAGCAGCCACTACAGGTCCGCGAGCTATAGCAGCTTTCAGGGACTGAATGTCATTCTGTAGAATAGATACATAAGTAATAAATTTTCCGAATCTGTTTCCTGTTTTATACTGACACCATTGTGTTTTTCCAGCAAACGGATATTGAAACTCTTGTAGCAGTCCATTTTGTTTCATGATGTAATTTAAATACTATAATTAATTGAATATCACAAGAAAAAAGTAATGAATTTCATGAAATGTAATGAAATTTTATAAACGTTGTAGATCCAAAATGCTCCTTCTCGTAAAGCACGCTGAGATCTGCTCTATATTACTAATTTTTTCTTTTTTTTGCACATATTTTTTAAACAAAGGAACCTAAGTGATTCAAAAGACAATTTGTTGTTCACTGATGTTTTGATTGCAATAAATCTAAATTTGCAAAAACAGAATTATGACCTTCAATCAAATCATATTTGCAATGTCAATAGTAATCGCGATAGTGTAGTTTAATTTGGCAATATTTTAAAAAAAGTCCATCAATTAATCTCAAATTAACTTGAGCACAGCTTCACATATTAATGTTGATAAATGTTGTGATTAAAAATGGTCAGTTATTATTGCAGCAATACTTTAAAATTCTATGAATTGTAATCAATAATTTAGCATTATATTTTTCAACGCTTACTTCTGTGGCATTTCCAGATGTTTCACATCCATATTCGGTGCAATCCAATAATTCCTGAGCAGAGAGTGTTAATAATACATTTTGTTCCATCTTAACTTTTGCTTCTATTGCACCTGCCACTGACAAAGCTGTTCCTCCAGCAAAACAGTTCTGCAAATTTATTCTTTAGAAACATTCGATCGAACACATTTACAATAGTATGTAATTTTCTTCGACTGTAAAGCCTTACTCATCGATTTGCATCCATTGAAACATTCTAAATTAATTTTGTTGTATACCAAAGTTGATTTTTTGGAGAATTAGCGCTTCTTTACGGCTGACATTTTAGCGAATGCATTAACGTTGTAATAGTGAATAAGTGATGTGACCTTTATAATTTGACACAGTTTACTCGTAAAACGAGTAAATTAACTTTTTAATTACTTAAAACGTTTTTGAATAATAAAAATTTTCAGCTCTTAAAAGTAAAAGCTGCATATTAATAGAAATTAATGGCAACAATGCGTTTCTTATTTTGACAACTTGTTTATTGTTTAGCTACTGCAAAATGAAACAGAAATAAATTTTGAATTATATAAATTTAAAAATCTGTAGAAAAAATCTTATTCAAAGTTATTTTTTCCTTTGAATAAAATTATTAGCATAATCAAACGCCAGTACTAGTACCCACGCAAGCCTCGCGCAAATGATTTTTGAACTGTTATAAAATATTGTTTTCTATGCCAGCAGCGAAAAATCCCATCGAACTATACAAATAAGATCGCAGAAAGCTGATATAATTAATTTATTTTTATGACATAAAGAATAGGCACGGAGATTGAAATATTTACCCCAAAATAACCATCGATGACATCTGTTACATATCCAGCAGTAACCCAGTTGACAGTTGATGGCAATTTAATTACTGTATACGGCAACATTGTCTTATTAGAAGGAATAATTGAATTGTCATACGTTTGTATAGGATTATTTTGTTGAAATTCTTGCAGTGTCTGCAACAATTTCAGTGTTTTACATGAAGCATTAGCTAACTAAACTAGCTAACTAGCTAGGTAACTGCCTAGAGTTGACTAGTTCATATGTAATGCACAATGCAGACCTATGCAAGCCAGCAGTTACAATTTAACTGATCTGCTAGTATTTTTCAATGTGTAATCATTTTCATGAATATCCTAATTGAATAGCAGCATATAGCCTTCCTAGCTATTAAAGTCAAGTTTATCCTCACCATATCAGCCATACTATTCAAGCCAAGTTCGAAAGATGATTTGCCTTGCTTGTACAACTCGTTGTGACGTTTGATTTCTTCTACAGTCTTTGCATAAGCCAACAAGCGAAATGCTTCTGGTCGTTCATCGTTAACACCTTTTTCTGTCAACAAAGAAATATGTGAAAATTTTGCCTGAATTATTCAATTAAAAATCACAATTAGCATTTGTCCTTTTCAAACACTTACTGTACTTTTGTACAAATTTTTTATAGTCCTCGTGATGTTCGTTATACAAAGCATGTAGTTTCGATTGGCTCAACGATTTGAATTGCCTAAATACTTATTCAAAATAAATAATAAAAATAATAGCACTTTTGAAGTTGAAAAAAGAAGTATTTCTCCTGAAATGAAATTCTGGAGCTTCATGCCAATTACAAAAACCCGTACAAATCAGTTGTATATTTGATTAAATTACAAATTTAGTTGTATAATTATCGCTTATATTTATAAAGTTTGATTTCTACGTGCAAATAAGTAGGTATGTAGATGTTATGGTTATCGACATTTTATCCTCCAGTAAATGAAATCTTGAGATACTTACTCATGAACTGTGCATTCAAAAAACAATATTGAATTTATGAGTATGTAAACGAGAAGCATTGTGACAGTAAACGGAGAAAGGAGTAATATACTTTAGATGGTTTTACCTCGTATGAGTATTTATTGAATTTCCCACTGCTTTTACTTTCGAAAACAACTCCTTTATCAGTAATGAGTCGAAATAATTGTTGACTTTATCAGTCTCGTCATCATTAATTCTCGGCATCAAGAGCTTTGTAGCACAAATGATTAACATTTTTTGAGAATAATTTTCTTACAAAGTACACAATAATAATTTCACTTACAAAAACTAGAAGAGCCTTTCATTTTTAGATATTTTAGAACTTTAGAACCAAATGGCTAGGAGATTACGTTAAAAAGAATTCAAAACAACGTAGAATACTAAAAGAGGACTGCAAATTACTCTAAATATAGCTTTCTAATAGTAATAAAAATTCATGAAGCTTTGATAATGAAAAATTTTTAGGTGGAAAAGAACTCAGTAATTTTGCAGCAAATATTCATTCATAATAATCCTTTTGCTTGTTTGCATGTCACTTCAAGTTATAAAAAAATTTGAGCATTATAAATAAATTGGTTAAATTGTAAATTTGAAAATACTGCAAAATCAGAATGATTTTTTCTTCAAACATTAGTCGAAAACATTTGTTACTTGTTTGCTTAATTTCTCAAAATTTAAGCTTTATTTTCATAAAGGTCAAATTGAATATCATCAAATTTAAGTGTAAAATTATATTTCGGAATTCGTAAATAAGATTATCTGAATCATAGCAAAGACATGATACGAAAACAAGAAGAATCATCGCAATTACCGATAAGAGGAATTAAAAACTTCGTTGCTAGTGACTACAGTAATTGTTTATATTAAAAATTTAATATAAATACTTCTTTTAAAAATAGGAAAGATTCAGTATTAAGATATAATCGCACTGTACCCGTTAAATGAGAACTCTTCTATTCATTTTCAACCATTTATTTTCTGCACACTCACATCATTTTCATGAGCTGTAAGTAAAACTAAACTTCAGTATTCAACAATTATATTTTTTAGCCATACGTTTAAATATGGTATATGGAGAACGGATAAGTTTAACTCACAAATTATCCTGTGAAAAAAGTTCATTGCTTGGTAATTTTTTACTAACACTTTGAGTGCTAAATTTTAGCTTCCAGGAAACGCGCAAAATGGTAATTGCTTGCATTTCTCAGAATTTTTTGATTACTAAGTATATGTAGATATATAATAATAATGATAATAATAATAATAATGATAATAATAATAATAACAATAATAATAATAATTATTATTATTACTATTATAAATTATCAGTTCTAGGAGCATAAAGTTTACAAAGGATCTTGTGAGGATGCAAGAACGTGAAAATTTATTGTATTTCAAAGTTTTACAGTTTAGCTCAAATTTTTGTATATTTAAAACTTTGTTAATTTGTTTATTGCAGTAAAAGTGATAATACGAACGGAAGTGTTTATCAGTCATATAATACGCACTATTCCTCCTACAAAAAATTTTTCAATAAATATTGTAAGTTTAATTTTTTGGCATGAATGATCACAAGCACCATTTGTTGCTATGTTTGGTATTGAAAATGCCTGAAAAGCTATGCGATGATATTTTAAGCAGTTTATCTTTTATAGTTAAACTTGACAAATTTTTCATTAGTAATAATTAAATAATTTTTGATGCGCATAAAAAACGCGAATCATCCGTTTCGGAGGCAATTCGTCTAATGAAATTTGCAAAAAACCTACGTATAATTGATGAACACAATAAGCGTTTTGAACAAGGCTTAGAGACATTCAAAATGGGTTTAAATGAAATGAGCGATTGGGTTTGTTGATGCAAATTTTGTGAATTTTAGCTCAAATTACAAGAACAATTTTGAAACAAAATAATTTACTATATGATTAAAATTTCAATTTCAACAAATAATAAAATGCACTATTGTTTGTTAAAGATTTTTGAGTTTTGTCACTTTATTGTTACAGACTGAAGAAGAATTGAGAGGCCTTACGGGATTTAAACAGTCGAGAGATATGGTGCCAATGGGCAATTTATCTCACATACTGAAGAACAAGATGAGATTAAAATTACCGCCTAGCATCGATTACAGAACAAAAGGGATTCTTGCTCCAATAAAACATCAAGTTTGGTTACTTCAACACTTCTAATCATTTTATTGCGTTGTCCCAATCATATTGATGCACTGACGTACTCACTTCCTTTCATGCAATAATTTTGAAAAATACACTTGTGATGCCTGAAATATTATCAAATAATGAGAATATATTTGGATCTTCGCTAAATATTTAAATAATTCTCGAAATGCTGACAGCGTTTTCAGGGTGAATGTAATATTTGCTATATTTTTACGGCTGTGTCAGCGTTAGAAGCGTACACAGCGTTAAGAAAGAAAAAGACAGTCAGAGCTTTATCTGAACAGAATGTAATGGATTGCAGTGAAATGGAAAAATGTATGGGAAATGGCGGGAGCTCTGCAAAAGTACAGTGCTTGCTTCTAACAGCAAAATTTTTATTGATTTTAGAATAACAAACTTCTACGACTTTATCACTGTGCAAAAACTCTTCTTTTGCATAGAAAGTAACGTGAGGCACTTCATACTCTCTAATAAGTCGCACTTACTGCAAGCTTGGTCAATCATTTTTTTAAGTAAAACTCTGATTTTTTTCTCTCACCTTATGGCAGTGCATCTTTTACAGCTTAAAATGTCATAACTTCTTATTCTGTAATTCCTTAGCATTCGTTTTTAATATATCTTTTTTATGACAAATTAGTTGATGTAAATGCGTAAAACTGGCATTACGTGATTGTAAGTATAATTGTCAAGTGTAGTTATTCTTTTACTGCGCCATAAAAAGGAATTTTATACGCCTTACAGAAAACATACTTAAAGCCGAAAATGTGGGAGAAGTGATTTTATGTCAATTTTTTAAAGTTTCATGCAAAATTATTTCAATAAAAAGCGCTAATTGTTTTATTTTAAAAAGAAACACATTCTCCTAATTGTTTTACATGAGCAACTAACTTTGTGAATCAGTGATAAAAAGATCATTTAGGTTTTCCAATGGGTAGCTAATACTTATGGCTTAATGGCTGAAAGTGATTATCCATATAAGGAAAAAGATAATCCTTCATGCTTGTACGATCCCAAGAAAGCGATTGCAAAACCAGATGGAGGTGCCATTTTGCCTTACAATGATGAGATTGCTTTGAAAAAAGTGTTGGCATTTATTGGGCCAGTCTGCGCATCCATACATGCATCCGACCTAAGTTTTGTGAATTACAAAAGCGGTAAGTGCGGAAGTTATTTTCCATAGTTTTCTGTTGTAAAATATTTCAAAAAGAGCAGCAGAAAATTGCATAACTAATAATGCCAAAAGAAAAAATTGATCACAGAAATTAGACTAGCAGTATTGCATTATAAGATTATCCTTGCATGCTAATCTTTCATTCGGAAACACGAAATCAAACAATTACGTTTTTCAAAGCAATTGACTTGAAATTTTAATTATTCAAAGGAATTAATGGAATAAATCGCTGAAACATTTTCATGAGGTATATAAAAAGGAATTAATTGTTGTTAGGCATATATCAAAACAGGAACTGTTCAAGTTCACTGCTAGCAATGGATCATGAGGTTTTAATTGTTGGTTATGGTGAAGAGCGTGGGCAGCAGTATTATATTATTCGAAACAGGTAGCTGAATCTCATGGCAAAGTTTTTTCAGCATTTATAAACCTTTTGCTGCGCCTGAGGAAAGATATGTAAAAGCAAATACAATTTCGATCAAAAAATACGATATATAAAGTATAAAATTATGAGTATAAAAGTAATTATTTCCATAACAAAATTGAACTATGAAAAAACAGAAAGGAAGAGGAAAGCTAAATGCAAAGCAAACTTTTACACTTTTAATTTATGCCTATTTACAAAAATAAAATTTTTTTTAATAGCAACTCATTTAGTTGGGGAAGAACATGGGGTGAAAACGGTTATGGTCGAATTCTTGCCAATGCTTTTACGTGTGGTATTGGCCGCGAATCCTCCATACCTCTAATGTAAACGAATAGTTGCACTTCCTTCTTGTCCGAAGAGATTTATTTTCAAACATTTTTAGTTTAGAGTTAATTTAGCATTTATCAAACATTTTGCAAATGGATATCGAAGTAATAAAAAGCAACTTTTAATGCATATATCTAATCAAATCAAACATTTGTTCTTGAAAAGCAGTTGTAGTCTTCAAACAGCACTCTGACATCTGCTAAAAATTTCTTGTTGTTACAGTAGAATTGAAATTACAAAGTAAAAAGATAATAAGTTTTAAAGGTAGTAAGGCAGTAACATAGAGTGAAACGGTACTGCATAAAAGGTAGTAAGTTTAAAGCTGAAAAACACATGATTTGTGAATATTTAATTACTTCGTCTAAAAGCAGTAAAAATTATTATTGTTTTTACCATCTGGCAGATTTTACAGTATGTGATGTATCGAAGAATCTCTATTTGTTAAACTACGAAATTTATTATTAACGATAAAATTTTTTGGTAAGCAGCTGAATTAATAAGTTAAGCATCCAATCACTCCGCTGAAATGCTGTGCTTTCTTATTGTGCTGAACTCAGTTTTATGTGGGAATTCTTTTTTCCACTGACATTCTTTTAAAGATATTTACAGTTCTATAAATCACTTTCAAAGACTACGAAAATTAAATATTCAATCACTTCGTCACAATAGATCATTAATTGCTTCCTCTCCGATCACAGCAAAATAAATACCTTCTGTATTATTCTCAACATGCTTAAGAGATTAAAAATCCGTTCTAAATTTACATAAATGTGCACATACATACAGAATAATAAACATTAATTCGAATCAATTTAACAGATCAGCAAGCAGGTTAGTCGAATAGAATTCAATTGTAAACAGCTACAACCACGTTATCATTCGGAAGCATTTTAAGACTTGAGGTGATAAAATGCAAATTTATTATTAGTTCTCATGATCTAAATGAAAAATGTGCTTCATATGAAAGTAAATGTAAGAGGAATTGTAAATTTTATTATTACTCTCTAGAAGTACCTACTTCATGCATCCTTAGAAAGTGAAATTAATAATTGGAAAATGAACTTTTTCATGCAGTTAATTCACTTTTAATTTTAAATTATGAATGATAAAAACGTTTAGCAACATATTTCTTATAGAATATATGGATTTTTGTTTTGACTTCTGTGGTAAGAAATGGGAAAAACTTATAGTTGTGATAACAATTATTTTCATATGTGAAATGGGAGATAAAAACAGCCAAACATTCGTTTTCGTGGTTTTTGTGGAGGTATAATGTTTG